AGTTGAAGGTACTAGTCAAATTCAGAATTTCTTGATAACCTTGAGCAGCGAAACAAGCGTCTTTGATTTGCGTTCATCTCCCTCTAAACGGAAAGTGGTCTGTATCAGTCACTGAACTAATGATAGGGAATGAAGTAGTTATGTTCGTCGACCATGTCATTTATGTTAGAAGTCTCATCACTTCTGGTGGGTTGTTGCCTGGCTAGATTTCAGAATGGTTTCAGACAGCTGGGTTGGTGTTTTCAAACTTATGTCGCTTGTGACGTTGGAGAGATGTCTGTATGCGAACCAAAACAAGTGTACACTGTGAGACAGTCCGCTATGCATTAATTTATGGTTGTGAAACATGATCCTTGAAATTAGAAGATATGCTTAAGTTGAAGCTGGCTATCAAGTTGGGATCCATACGACAGCAGTAATCTGCATTCGTAGACATTGACTGAAATAGTTCAGAATCATCTAGAAAGGTGATGATACATTCATTGCTTATATCACTATGGATCTTGAACTGCATTATTCCAAAACGCACAATATTCCTATTGTTCAGTCGTTTCCATTATCATTTCTACTATATTGTCCTGAAATGTTTTGATATTCATCTATTTATTTATTCATTTATTTGTCTGTTTATTTATTTATTTGGATGTCGGCTCAGTGGTCTATAGTTTAAGCGCTCGGGCGCGAAATTGATAGGTCCTAGGTTCGAATCTGGCAAGGCGGGATCGTGGATGCGTACTGTTGAGGAGTCTCACAATAGGACGAAAAAGCCATCCAGTGCTTGAAGGTTTTCCATCGCGGTCTAGCTTCAATCGACCCATGATCTCAACTATTAAAATTATGTATTTATTTTTTTGAAAACCTGATTTTTGATATATATAGATGACGTCTTTCTCAGTTTCATCTTGACATTTTCTTTAAGTTCTCTTTTTTTTCGAGTGTTATATGAATAAGACTTTTTCATTGTGTCACTTCATCTTTGTAATTAATTTCTTTACATCCAGTTAATTTTTATTGAGATTATTATTAATATCTTTTTTTATCTAGTTCATTTGATCTGAAAAATCAACATAGACGATAGTGTATACTTGTCTATAATGAACATAAGTTTTCTCAGTACGAGAAAATGATTTAAAACAAATAATCAATACAGATATATATCATTATTATGTAACTAGATATTCAGAATGATAAACGAAGAACAGATTTAGATCTTTTCCGCACTTCCACATTCCTTCCTATCATCAATCTTCTATGATGATGAATTACTTACTCAATTTATATTTTGAAATATGATTAGATCTTGTGAACAAAACACTTTGTATGGTTTAATGAAATTTCGTTTTAAACATTTAAATTTATAGTTCAATTGAAAATCTTTTTGTATTTAACATGTTTAGCCTGCTCGAATATCTGGGCAACTTGTTCCTTCCATCTAGATATTTCAATCAGTTATTTGTTTGTTTGTTTTAACACATCATTATGTCTACTAATCGTATAATCTATTCAGGCGTGTTTATGAAAAGTTTACGAACTTTCACTGTACAAGTTACAAAAAAGTACAATCAGACCGAACCCCAACCAATATAGTCTGCATCTACTGACATAGTTCAGACCAGAAGTTAGTGACTTCAAGCACTGATGCCACAATTGGTTTTCAATGCCCTTAAAGTTCAGCCATTCCCGACACTAGTCAGTATTGTGTGTCGTGGTAATAGATGTTCAGAAATAAGTAACACGTAACCCAACCATCTCAGTTGATGAAGATTCACAATCCCATCAACAGATTTACCATCATTCTCTAATACCCTGTTTCTAACCTCACTAATACTTACACGGCGATCCCAGAAGATGTGAGCAATATTTCTACTCCTAAAAGGCACGTTTCACAACCTTAATGTAGAACAGAACGAACTGCCACGCAATATATTCGTCTCCCAATTGATAGACGGATATCTCGCCTTCGCCATGGATGACGTATGTTGGCAAAAGTTAAAAGAGCTTTCGGAATCCATGAACAGGTTTCGTTAGACACCAACCCATTAGGGGTGATCAGACTCCCGTTATAAGTTGTCGATTCGTTCGACTAATTCACTCCCTATCCTTATTTCAGGTGTTGACGCAGGCCAGTCCTGGAATTACAAATTACATTTAGAGGGGGAGAAACGCATTCTAAATATCCTGGCATTGTTACTCAGTGCTAACAGAAGATCCTGCATTTTATCAGCACCTTCACCAAATAGGACTATGTCATCTGCGTATCCTAAGTTGATAAGTGAACCTCCTGGTAGGAAATCAGTGCCCGAAAATTCAGTCGACGAGACCTTTATTGACGCAGACCAGTCTTGGAGAAACAACGTTAGAGAAATGAAAATCAGTCACGGATAATGATGGTGATAAAATAATCATTTGTTCACGTTTTACTATTAACATGAATCGTGCTCATGTAATAACATCTACTATAACATTTATAAGGTTGCCTAGTATATCATCTACTCTTTTTGTAATTCATATTGTTTACATTCATCTGTGTCGATAATTTTGGAAGCACATTAAAATCCTCTTTGATTAAGGCACTGCATCATTTCCCAGTAATCACTAAGACTTAAATGTAGCCACAAAGCAGATCGTCGTTTATCAAGCAGAAAAACTTTTCGTTAATTTGAGCGCATACATCAATCTGATAAGTTACAATGAGCCCGACAATTTAGTTTTAGAGTTTCTTGTCGACTGCTCCATCATCAAACATGATGTGTCCCAGTATTGGATCACCAGGTTAATTCGAAAATCTATGAAATCTGAGTAAAAAATTGTCAACGAATACTAAGAACGAAGCTGTAAATGTTTAGTTAATCTTCAGTGACAGATGAGTATACTTATGGCACAACTAATGAGCAGAGATTGTTGTTGAAGTAAAACTTGATTAATTAGCAGTCTATGATTACACAAGGGTAAAACATGGAAAAGGTTTCAGGAGTGAATTACTCAGTTTCATAAATATTAGCTGGCTAGCGTGCAACATCATACAGATTTGGGTTTGATTTGTATCAATGATTAGTTTAGGCAGTCAATGTGCATAGTTAAGACATTTGATTGTATAGTTATCTTGGTAGATCATTGATTTTTTTAATCAAATAATCACCAGTTTGCTAAATTTTCTGGAGAGGGATTCGCAGTTAGATTCCAACCCTGAAAATATAAAAATATGATGTCGGTTTTCAAAATAGATCCTTGGTTATATTTAAATTTAAACTCGAGATCTTTAGATAACTATTTCTATAATTAAGAGTCAGGACAGAAGTGTAGAACCTATTTTAAAACCCCCTCTGAATGATATAATTATCAGAAGTTTGGGTTAATCTTAGGAAAAATAAACCTATAGATCAGTGTACAAACCTATTTAAACTGTTTATTTATTAGCCCATAAAACGTAAGGAGTGATTTGATAGTTCAGATACCTTGTTTAGACAGTCGGGTAGTAGCATACCTATTTTTTACACATAAAGTTTTGACTCATAGTCGAGTATATAGTCCTGGGTTTGATACCTAAGTTACATTAATTAGTAATCAACTATATACTATTGATTTTGTTCCATCAAAAATTATATAGAAACTGGTTATCGCTTCTGTATTTTAATTTAACAGGATTGAAATGGTTACGAACTGACCACATTTTGATGGTTAAATAATCAATGAAATATAATTTTGAATAAATTGAGCATTGGGTAGTTTGTTATAAATAAATAAATATATTTTATAATATCCCAATGAGTAGAAAAATTAGATTTTTGACGTTTCGTGACTCGGTGTAAGCCAGTTCTTCAGAGAATAAATAACCGAATTAACATTAATCAAAGTTTAAATAGTACAACGGAACAACATGAATATTAGGTGATCAATCAAAAAACATGTCTGAATCAGTCAACGTCATGTCATTTGATTTCAAAAATATCAAAATACTACAGAAAGGTTTTTTTTAATTACAAAGAAAGGAGAGTAACTGAAGCTTTCCATATAATGCTTAATCCTACAGCTCTCAATAGAAAGGAAGGCCTTACCATACATCCTACTTGAACTATCTATCCTAGTCACCAAGTCTGATATTATTTACAATTTCACACCATTACATTACAAATCAAATTCTATCCTTTGTAATTACAATGGTCACACAGTTTTCATTATTAACAGTGCATACATACACACAAAATTGCATACATATCGCTTATGAATCACTTTGACGGAAATGAAATGACTTGACATTGATTTATTCAGACCTGTTTTTGATTGATCACCTAATATTCTTGAATTGTTCCGTTGTACTATTTAAAGTTGGATTAATGTTAATTTGGTTATTTATTCTCTGAAGAAGTGGCTTACACTGAGTCACGAAACGTCAAAAAATCTAATTTTTCTACTCATTGGGATATTACAAATATATTAATTTATTTAAAATCAATGAAAGAGTTCTTTAAAATGTATGCATCTTTTGCTTTCTACTATCGGTTTTCCAGTATCGGTTCAAATACTACTACACGTTCACACTATACATTTATATCTCACTATAAGTGAATGAATAATTAATCCATGTACTCATTAAACAAAATAGAACAATATAGAATAAATAGCCATTTATATACTAATAATACAAAACGAAAAAGTCACACAAAATCTTTCTTATACGAAAGTACATTGTGCTCATTTATATTGATGGATTTATATTTGTATGTGTCTGTGTGTGTAAATCGATATGTGCAGTTATACATGTACCCAGATAAATGAAAACGAAAGTGTGAAAACAAAGAAACAAATAACAGAAAAACAAAAAAATAATAAACAACAACAACAACAAGAAAATCACAATTTGAATATGCATAAATGAGTTCGTTATTTAAATATTGTCTTAGTAACTAGTATTAGCAGCAGTAATAGTTAGTAGTAGCAATAATAGTAGTAATGTTTGCTTTTGTTAAAATTTATATATATATATATATATATATATATATAAACAGATTAATTTTACTAATGTTTTATTTTATTCCATTGTTCAATTAATAGTTTATTTTCTTTTACATAAAAAAGACAACCGAATAATAAAAGGTTTCATAAGCACTAGAAAAGGACATAGGGGGTGTTGGTGATGATGAAGAGATGTACTAAAATGTATCTATTTTTTTTCTTTTTTAATTCTAAGAAAAAGAAATCATGATTGTAAACTATAAAAAGAGTGTAATTTCTCTTTTCTATTTATTGATGACCCCTTGCATTATCAGGTGAAATAGTTCTTGATGAAGTCTCTTGATATTCTTCCCATATTTGTGTTTCACTTGTCCATGAATGTTCATCATTTTCATGTCTTACTTGCATACGTGATGGAATTAATTTATAATCATTATATAATGGTGATGTTATATCAATTCGAGTACATGATACACTTCTAGTATCAGGTAATATATTAAATGGATGATATAAATTAGATGTACTCAAATCTCTAGTTGTAAAAACATCATCTGATCTAGTTCTTGGTATATTGAATTCATGATGATATTGATTAGTTTGATGATCATAATTTTCTTCAATATCATCATGTTCATAATTTAAAGATACTTGAGAAGGAGCTAAAAGATTTACTTGTGTTGATAATACAAGTGATCCTGGTTCTTTATTTGGTGTACCTGATGTTGTTAGATAACGTTGTGGTTCTATTTCTTCAATAAATCTTAACCAACCAGCTTGTTTTGCAGTTAGAAAACTACACCATTTAGTTGGAATAAAATCTTCTGATAATAAATGCCCTGTAGAATTCATACTACGTAATATTGGTCTTGCTGGCCAATCAGCAGCAACTTCACCAGTTTCCCAATTTAATAATCCTAAACGTACAGCTTCTAATGGACCTAACCAAGGAGATGGTTCACCACCAGGACAAACATGAGTAAGTTGATAAACTTTACAACTAACTGGCTCATCTAATTCATCTTCCATAGATTCTGTTGTTGGAGTTGATGGTTCTAATTGTATTATTTGTCGACCAGCACCTTCTTCTATAGTAATCCATGTATTTGTTAAACTATCTAATAAACGTATTTCATCTTCCGTTGTTTCCAGTATACCATTTGCTATTGCTAAATTAGGGGATAGTACTTCACCCGTAGCTGTATTAACAACGCTTGTTAAATAAGCTTTGCACCAACTAAAGTATACTCGTTCAATTAATAGTAATACAGGTGTATTTGTTATAATATTTCTATCATAATGACTTGATGAACTAGTTAATCGTATACGTCCTTGTTGATAAGCCGTTTCTAATGGAATAGCAACTCCGGTCATTGGATCCACATATTCATTGACTTCACCAAGTCGAATCCATCCTCTTCTTATTGCCATTGCAACTGGTGCAAATAATCCTGTTCTTGGACTAGCCACTTCACGGATATTATTCCATTGTATACATGATGTTGAATATTGAGATTCAAATAATTCATATTGTAATGTTCGTTGACGTAGTTGAACTAAAATTTTCGACCTGTACAATAAAATAAAAATTATATGACAATTAGTATAATTAAACAAAACTATTTTGTCATTTGGTTCCACTCTTCATAAAATGTTTTTTTTTCTCAGAGTTTATTTCTTGAAATTCAAATATGAGGATTTTATTTAATACAACGGTCAACCCGAGATGGAGAAAAACAGACTATCGATGACATTAAATGAACGTCACAGTTTACTGAAGACCGACTGAAACAATGATAAGTCAATGATTTCCAAACTACTGTTTGTAAGAAAACGTATTACAAATACAGAGTTAATACATTAAACTGCTGTGGAGTCTTAAGCAAAAGCAATACACTTATTTAGTTCACTATGGTTTTTATTAATTCTCCAACTTATATTAGTGAGTATTAAAAATAATTCCTTGAAGAATAATAGTGTATTGAAGATAAACTAATGAAAATATGCAAATATTAAATTTGCATATTTTCATAACTTTAAGAATGTTATAAGTGAAATTAGAATAATGATCAGACCAGAACAAGTGTTCTTTAAATTATCATTATAATATTATATTATATCAGGTAGTTTTGTAGTGAACAAAACACTGGTTGGGGACAATCGAATGTATTTAAGCAAAGATTACAGACTATCTCAATAAATCCTGATTACCAAACAATGAACAGTCAATTTGCAAATTAACAACCAATTGTTTCAATCTTCACTGTTTCTTCTCTTATTCCATTGCTCATGCGTTTTCCAGACGTTTGCGTTTCATTTCAGTTCTTTCTTCATCGGTCTTCTGCGAAAATACATTCTATGTCTGACCCACACCATATACTACTTATATGGATATAAGTAGACCACACCACACTCGTCCCCCCTTTAAAGCATTCGTTCATGCGGTGGTTCTGCTCGCCACGCCACTATCTTCTTTCACTGCAGTCTGTGCCAAACTCTCCGTCAGAATGTCGAGTCTGCGGCGCGCTGACCTCCATAGCTCCGTCGACCTGCCGGGGCACCAACATCCTCATCCACCCGGCACCTGGGACGTTCAACACCCATACTCCACCGGCCTGCTGAGCCATCTACATCCGATGTCCGCCCAGCAGCCGCACGTCCCACTGCTCCTCTCCGTCGACAGCACCTGCTACAGCCAACGCCGCCCCGCCAGAACACTCCACTCGACGCCACCTCCCCGCACCAGACTGCCCCAACTAGCACCTCAACTCCAGACCCGCAGCGGCGTCCACAGAACAGCACCCTTCCTCCTCCCGGTTGGCAGCGACACCAAATGTAGTGAACAAAACACTGGTTGGGGACAATCGAATGTATTTAAGCAAAGATTACAGACTATCTCAATAAATCCTGATTACCAAACAATGAACAGTCAATTTGCAAATTAACAACCAATTGTTTCAATCTTCACTGTTTCTTCTCTTATTCCATTGCTCATGCGTTTTCCAGACGTTTGCGTTTCATTTCAGTTCTTTCTTCATCGGTCTTCTGCGAAAATACATTCTATGTCTGACCCACACCATATACTACTTATATGGATATAAGTAGACCACACCACACTCGTCCCCCCTTTAAAGCATTCGTTCATGCGGTGGTTCTGCTCGCCACGCCACTATCTTCTTTCACTGCAGTCTGTGCCAAACTCTCCGTCAGAAAGTCGAGTCTGCGGCGCGCTGACCTCCATAGCTCCGTCGACCTGCCGGGGCACCAACATCCTCATCCACCCGGCACCTGGGACGTTCAACACCCATACTCCACCGGCCTGCTGAGCCATCTACATCCGATGTCCGCCCAGCAGCCGCACGTCCCACTGCTCCTCTCCGTCGACAGCACCTGCTACAGCCAACGCCGCCCCGCCAGAACACTCCACTCGACGCCACCTCCCCGCACCAGACTGCCCCAACTAGCACCTCAACTCCAGACCCGCAGCGGCGTCCACAGAACAGCACCCTTCCTCCTCCCGGTTGGCAGCGACACCAAATGTAGTGAACAAAACACTGGTTGGGGACAATCGAATGTATTTAAGCAAAGATTACAGACTATCTCAATAAATCCTGATTACCAAACAATGAACAGTCAATTTGCAAATTAACAACCAATTGTTTCAATCTTCACTGTTTCTTCTCTTATTCCATTGCTCATGCGTTTTCCAGACGTTTGCGTTTCATTTCAGTTCTTTCTTCATCGGTCTTCTGCGAAAATACATTCTATGTCTGACCCACACCATATACTACTTATATGGATATAAGTAGACCACACCACACTCGTCCCCCCTTTAAAGCATTCGTTCATGCGGTGGTTCTGCTCGCCACGCCACTATCTTCTTTCACTGCAGTCTGTGCCAAACTCTCCGTCAGAAAGTCGAGTCTGCGGCGCGCTGACCTCCATAGCTCCGTCGACCTGCCGGGGCACCAACATCCTCATCCACCCGGCACCTGGGACGTTCAACACCCATACTCCACCGGCCTGCTGAGCCATCTACATCCGATGTCCGCCCAGCAGCCGCACGTCCCACTGCTCCTCTCCGTCGACAGCACCTGCTACAGCCAACGCCGCCCCGCCAGAACACTCCACTCGACGCCACCTCCCCGCACCAGACTGCCCCAACTAGCACCTCAACTCCAGACCCGCAGCGGCGTCCACAGAACAGCACCCTTCCTCCTCCCGGTTGGCAGCGACACCAAATGTAGTGAACAAAACACTGGTTGGGGACAATCGAATGTATTTAAGCAAAGATTACAGACTATCTCAATAAATCCTGATTACCAAACAATGAACAGTCAATTTGCAAATTAACAACCAATTGTTTCAATCTTCACTGTTTCTTCTCTTATTCCATTGCTCATGCGTTTTCCAGACGTTTGCGTTTCATTTCAGTTCTTTCTTCATCGGTCTTCTGCGAAAATACATTCTATGTCTGACCCACACCATATACTACTTATATGGATATAAGTAGACCACACCACAGTTTTCCTCTGCCTAAGTACCGAAATGATAACGTCTCAGACTTTGAAATCAAATAATGATATATTCCAATCCTGCAGGTAACATCAGTTCTATCAAGACAGGAAGTACGCCTTACTGACAGGTGTCAATAAGTACGAAACCTAAGTTCAGGGTTTCTTGTAGACCATCTAACATCAGTATTTTGAAAACAACTCTCATTGTAGATTACTGAATATATAAGTGATAAATGAATCTAATCCACTTACAGATCCAGATATCAAATATTAATATTATTTTATACTACAAGGATCACATATTCATATAAACATACATGGATTAGTTTACTACAAAACGAAATAGACAAGAAAAATCAAGTGCTCAAATATTACCTTATATAAACCCATATAATTCACAAAAGATATGATAGGCATTTAGAAAGTTCTTAAAAAATGAATCACCACATATTTTATTGGTAAAATGAAATAATACTAAATTTTGGAATTCTTTTTCTGAAGTCATTTCTACATATAATTAATAATTGACACAGAATAGATGGCATGTGGCTAGCAGTGGAGTTCAAGATAAGTGTTCCATTCTGCTTCAAACTTGTCAGTTGGATGTACCTACATCCCAGAATAAATGTCTACTCCGGGACTCGAACCCAGTACTGCTAATTTCAAACTCCATTGAGTTACTTCACTTAGCAACTGCGTCCAGACGGCAATTCACATGAGCGATAGATATGAATTTTTATTTTGTTTTATTTATTCAAATAGCGAAATGGATAACATGGTGGTTTTTAAGGCGGACAGTACTGGATTCGAGTCACGGTGAGGACAACAACTCTGCTATGAAAGTAAATCCAGCTGACAAGTATCAAGCAGAATGAAACACATATCTTGGATTCCACTAATAGCCACATTTCATCTATTTTATATCAACTGTTCATAATAGCACAATCGAGGTAATCCGCACAAAATGTTTATATGCCAATCAAGATCGATCATATTTTAATCAACAATATCAACGATGGGACGATCTAAATATCATAGAATTTTGAATATTTTTTTAAACAAATTCAGAATTAATCGGATTTTTATTTTAAAAAAGAAGAATGATTTAAACCTTAAAATCAATTTAATACATTTGTTTATTATTTCATTCGAAAACGTGATATGGTTCGTTTCATAACAGAGTTCTATCTACTTACCGACTTATCTACCTACCTACCTACCTACTTACTCACCTATCTCCTAATCAGTCATTGCCTTCATCTTCAATAATCCAAGCGGTATGAAATAAAGAGAAGAATATGCAATTGTTCAAACTTTTTAAATTACTTGTACAATCAATTTTCTTCTCATATTACTGATTCATCATCATCATCATTTTTTATATTCAAAGGAATCTTATTGTCAATCGTGTCCTGACTTGATCATATGAATTTTCAATAATTACTTGTATGATATTACCTTTTGCCTCATGAATTAAAAGTCTTTTCTCTTTGATAAATTTCGATAGTTCAAGAAGACGAAGTTTATCAGAACTATTTGATATATTAGCGCAATACATTTCGAACAATCTGATCACACCTAATATACTTGTTAAGAACATTTATATATAAAAATAAAAGATTAACTAGACTGAAATGGGGGGTGTAAGAGGAGACAAGAATAAAAATAATAAACAATTTGAAATCTAATCACTTTGGTTAATAAGTTACTATTACCAAGGTAGGTTTAAAGTGAGAATAAACCGTTTTTGAATACACAAAGGGGGTTTGAATTTTCGTATGTCTAAGGCTTCAATAAACCTTAGTATACGTCCTTGAAGGCTTTTGTACAACACTACAAACGCTGACTTGATGTCAACCTTATGACCAGTTTCAACCAAATGTTTCGCAATGGATGAAGATGTTTGTCTATCCTATGATCTTATTTGACCATTGGAATTCATTTGGTTCTGCAGCCATTTAGGTATGTGATCCGCCACCTCTAATTGCAGATCACGATTGCTCCTCCCGACGTATGTGTTACCGCACATACATATAAATTGATATACACAATGGGATGTGACTCAATCGCTTATGTGTTGTTTAGGTTTTTGGTGCAACATCGACCTTGTCTTTTCAATGATGACAAATTGAGCTTCATAAAATGTCCTGTTTATGGCTAATTTCAGTCTCCGTTTCAACATGAGACTATTTTAGCTTGAATCAATTTCTGTACTAAATGAGACTATGAAATTATTGATCAGAATGAATAGAGATAAAATATAATGGAAGAAATAATAATATAGTTCTTTAGTTAAGGAAGGAGTCTGCAATATATACTAAGTGATATGAATTAAACAAGAATTAATAATATGCGGTAATGGCTAATGAAATTCTTTGTATCTAAGACATTAATGATAATAATATCAAGATATGTGAATAACTCTAGCTAAATGGAAGTTTACATGTATATTAATGAAATTAGATCATTTTATCGTTGAGATTTGTACTGATTTGTTAGAATTGAGGCTAAATGTAGTTCAAGGAAAGGTTAAATATATTTCTTTTGCATTCAAACCTTTTTCTTTCTTTTAAACCTCTATAGTTACTAGAAGGGGTTTTGTGCAGATTTTTAGTAATTTTATGGAGTTGAGATCATAAGTCAATTGAAGATAGACCACCACGGAAAACCTGGAAGTACTGGACGACCGTTTCGTCCTATTATGGGACTCCAGCTCAGTGATCTATCTGTTAAGTGCTCTGGCGCGACACTGGTAGGTCCTGGGTTCGAATCTCGCGAGTGCGGGATCGTGGATGCGCACTGCTTAGGAGTACCACAATAGGACGAAACGGTCGTCCAGTGCTTTCAGGTTTTCCATGGTGATCTTGCTTCAATTGACTCATGATTTCAACTCTATAAAATCACTATATTTATTGTTTCTAAATTCTACAAGACTCTGAATCTGACTTATTTTGGTAGATTATTATTTACACGATAAACTTTTAGAAACAAATGATACTCTCTATCTGTATTATCAGTTCTAATAACTCAATGTATATGCCTTTAAATTGCTAATACTTTCGAATAACTAACTTAGGAAAACTTATTAACATCACTTATAATTTAAACATATAAATGGAAATTGATGTCATTTTAAAGTTGTTGTCTGTTAGTTAAACCTTTCTTACATAAACAAACATACGTGAAAATGACTTTGTGAATAGCTACTACTAATGAAACATGTTTAAAAGAAACAATTTGGAAATGAATTGGATGTAAATTAGATGATCAAGTTAATCTAACTGGCAAATTGCAGAAAAATATACTGGAAAACTTAAAAATAATCAACTTTACTGTAGCAGGTGAATTTTGCCGAAACCTGTGTGCTGGCTACCATTTCTTCGATTGAATTCGTAATAAGACTACTTGAAAAGATTATTCTTAAACATTATATATATATTTTTTCTGTGAATAATTCATTGAAGAGGCATCGAATGTTTAAGATTTCTGGGTTGTTTTTTTTAGTATTAAGTGAAGTATTTCGACAACGGCATTAGGTAAAGCTTTCCACATCTTGGCCAACAGTTCTCATGTTCAAACCCAGTTCACCTAATTTATTTTAGACAGCCAGGTAGTAATAGTTGTTCTCGCATGAACAATGTGGCAAAAGTTGAATACATGAACCTGAGCCTGATAAGAGTTAAAGAAAACAAGAGTTTTTCCCAAGTAACATTTATATTATCTGTAGTGTTACTATTTATGCTACAAAGCTAGTTGACAGAATTCCGCCAACACTAATACAATTCTATTAATATATCAACTGACTTATTTATAACATCTGTGGCTGAGGCACTGTGCAACGTAAGTTTTAGTATGTGAGTAAACATACGTTCGCTTAAGGCCATGAATGCAAAGTCAGACATCATAAAACCTTATTTCATTAGTTCCTGCCGGTACCATTCAACAAACCGAATTAATCACTTGTGTTAAGACATTATCATTAGAAAGTATTTCTAAGTTGATATTATTTGTCTTTCACGTAATTTCAATCTATTCTAAACAGTATTTCATACAGTTATATATCATGACATTAAAACTCACATGTGGTGGGTTTCTTCTGTAAGCATACCAACTTTTTCTACGATATCATCAGATTGGAAGCGTTCTGCAGATTCATGAATCGAGATATCTTCTACTTGCCAATCCTTCTGGAACTTTTTCTCGAGATCTGATTCTATAGGAATTGCTTGTGTGCCGCTACTGATAAGCACCTTTTCACCCGAATCAGTTGGTAATCTAGAGCAAATATTCAGTTGGTGAGACCTATATTTCGACACAGATATATCTTCACTTTTATGCCCGTCAGATCCAAGCAATCTAATGCCTGCCTTAATTACTTCACACAGATCCTCATCAGCCCATTCTAAGTCACCTGAAGAGATAATACTGGCCAGGTGAATTACTGATGTCTGAATACCCGTAGTGCTTAAACGCCTAGAACTTTCTTCACGTAAGTCCATTAAAGAATGACTTTCTTTTGTTTTGATAAAGTATTGTTGATCATAGAACGGATCTGTTTGCACACCCAATTCACAAACAATCAAATCCTCCTCCTCTGTGAATTCCTCCGTAATTTTTATTTGACTATAAACCTTTTTACTTTTCTTCTCAGTTATCTCCAAGATACGTTCTTCGATTACGTCGATAGGTTCACTAACTTGTTCCATTCGAGATTCTGTGTATGAATCTTGTTCAACTTGAGTCCATGCTTCTGCAATTTGATCTTTTATTAGTCTTCTTTGATAAATTTCAAAAATATCCTCTTTGAATTTTTCATGTTTTTCAGTCTGCATAGAAATTCCGTAATGATCTGTTTGGGATGCTGTTGGTATATGTGTAGGACAAAATTGACACTGGACTTCACATACTTGTCCTAGTCTTGAGCGTATCAAATATGCTTCATAAGTGTAACTTGATCCACTAAGCGGGGATTCAGATCTTGATATTTCGGATTCAGAAGGTAAACTATGCGAAAGTGAATCAAACACAATTTGAATGCCAACATCTGCTGCTGTGACAGGCTCTTCCATGGCCATAGAGGCCTGTTCACGTACCGACCCAAACTCCCGACGGCTTTGATAATAATCAAAAACAGAATGCGTTGGGGGACATTTTTCCCAAACTTCAGTTACACTATCTTCATGAAGCAAGCGCTTTGTGTATCGAGAATATGATGTACCTGACACAGTTTGCTCACTATCATCATGTCCACTCGATTCTTCTAGTATTACATTCTCGTTTTCTATATGATGCTCAACAACATAGTCTGTAGAAATGTCTTTTATGTAGAAGTCTTTTGTATATCCTTTATAAACTGAGCCAGTCAGATTGACTTGAACTTCTGCGTCAGTAACAAGCACGGCACTGCTTGGTGCTGAATAGTAATAACGTTCAATTAAACGTTCTCTAATGTCTGTAGAACTAATGTTTTGAAGTAAGACGGCGACTTTTGAGTCGACATCATCAGTCATGGTTTCAGCATTTTGATTATCAATGATGATGTCTTTCTGAATCTTATCAAACGTAATGGGTTGAGTTTGACAGCCGGCATTTTCTTGAGCAGGTTCATAAATATACTGGACTGAGAAGTTTTTCCTGTTGACGGTAGGTAATTGGCTGCCAGGTAAGGAAGGCGAGTATTCTTTTTGAGAATTAGGCCTACAAATATACGACTCTTCAGTTTGTACACAACTATCAACCAAACAACGATGTAGCTCTTTCAAATTATCGTCAACTAACTCCCATTCAAGATCCCCGGAGTCAAGAGGGACATCTTCGTCCTGTATAGTTGAAGGTAAATAATCATGATCAACAAGGAAGAATCCAGATGAGTCAATTAAGTTTGAAATCTTAGGTTCATGGAAAAAAGGCTTCAATGGCTCGGTCGAAGTTCCAAGAGAAGAGCAACCAACGACCATTTTACAACAAGAATCAACAAGAGAGCAAAACAAAGAATCAGCACCAGAAACATAAACACAATCATCGACAAGCTGAGAAGTTGATAAAGAAGAAAAATTACATTGCGACCAACAATCAACAAAAGAAGGTACAGCACAAACAGATGAATCAACTGAAGAAGACTGAATGAAATGCACAATATTCGTCAACAATAAACGATCGGGAGGAAAATCAAGTGCATTTTCGGGCGACTTCACTGACACACTGGTCGCACTATCCACAACACACACACTTTCCTTCACCGTCTGCACACAGGCTTCCAATGTTTGGATGGGTTTCGGTGGCTGCTGGACTGGAACAACTGGTGTCTCTGGTTTCACTGGTGCATGCATCTCACTCCAAGAATCCACCATGCACAATTGGACAGGTTTGGCTTGTGACGTCGCATCGGTGCGTTTCAACGACAAATGGGCAGCACCGTCGAGTAGAGATTTGTGTGGCTCGGTCTGTGCACCCACGTCGGACGAGGAGACTGGTACTGTGTCGATTTGTTGGTCGACAGTGGAACGTTTCACGAACTGTGTGGCTTCCACTAGCGATGTTTTGCGAACAGGTTCAGGTGTCGGTAACTCTAATGAGGCGGTCTCGGTGATGAGAGGAGCTTTGACTTGAACGGTGGGTTTCCAGACAATCTCATGCTGACTGGATTCCACGACGTGTGTGGTGACGGAGGTCGCCTGTGTGGCAGTCTCAGTCAGATGGCGAGGTGGTGGCTGTTGGACAGGCGACTCTGCGTAGGAGGCACTCACTGACATCATATGATCAGGTTTCACTGTCTTCAACTCTCTGTGATCCTCACTGGTCACAACTGGTCGTTCGGTTTGAGTCACCTGTACTTCTCGTTCTGCTACTCCCACTGCTTCCGTCACTGTGTGGCTGCTGGTCTGTTGCACCTGGTAGCCGGAGCTCATGACACGCGTGGCCACACGCATTCCGAACTGCATTCCAACGTCATGAGTGACTGGCTTCTCGACCTTCATGGCCATGGATAGTGTTGACTCGACGTAGGGTGCTGGTGTCACATGTTTCACTAGTTCACTGGTTGTCTGACACAGACTTGAGAACTTGCTGGTCTGCATAGCGACATTCGACGTTTTCACAGTCACAGGAACCGGTTCGATCTTAGGCTGAACGGTTTGACAAGCCATCTCTTCGGTATTCACGTACCGATGTCCACAGCTGGTACACAGACTCCTCTCGACCACTTCCCGTTCTAACTTGTGTGTGGTCAGACTGACAACCGGTGTGCTCACCCTATCCACTTGCACTTCAGCATTCACATTCGGTCTCTTCACGAAAGCTGCAGTCGAATCAAGCACACTTTCGGGCGACTTCACTGACACACTGGTCGCACTATCCACAACACACACACTTTCCTTCACCGTCTGCACACAGGCTTCCAATGTTTGGATGGGTTTCGGTGGCTGCTGGACTGGAACAACTGGTGTCTCTGGTTTCACTGGTGCATGCATCTCACTCCAAGAATCCACCATGCACAATTGGACAGGTTTGGCTTGTGACGTCGCATCGGTGCGTTTCAACGACAAATGGGCAGCACCGTCGAGTAGAGATTTGTGTGGCTCGGTCTGTGCACCCACGTCGGACGAGGAGACTGGTACTGTGTCGATTTGTTGGTCGACAGTGGAACGTTTCACGAACTGTGTGGCTTCCACTAGCGATGTTTTGCGAACAGGTTCAGGTGTCGGTAACTCTAATGAGGCGGTCTCGGTGATGAGAGGAGCTTTGACTTGAACGGTGGGTTTCCAAACAATCTCATGCTGACTGGATTCCACGACGTGTGTGGTGACGGAGGTCGCCTGTGTGGCAGTCTCAGTCAGATGGCGAGGTGGTGGCTGTTGGACAGGCGACTCTGCGTAGGAGGCACTCACTGACATCATATGATCAGGTTTCACTGTCTTCAACTCTCTGTGATCCTCACTGGTCACAACTGGTCGTTCGGTTTGAGTCACCTGTACTTCTCGTTCTGCTACTCCCACTGCTTCCGTCACTGTGTGGCTGCTGGTCTGTTGCACCTGGTAGCCGGAGCTCATGACACGCGTGGCCACACGCATTCCGAACTGCATTCCAACGTCATGAGTGACTGGCTTCTCGACCTTCATGGCCATGGATAGTGTTGACTCGACGTAGGGTGCTGGTGTCACATGTTTCACTAGTTCACTGGTTGTCTGACACAGACTTGAGAACTTGCTGGTCTGCATAGCGACATTCGACGTTTTCACAGTCACAGGAACCGGTTCGATCTTAGGCTGAACGGTTTGACAAGCCATCTCTTCGGTATTCACGTACCGATGTCCACAGCTGGTACACAGACTCCTCTCGACCACTTCCCGTTCTAACTTGTGTGTGGTCAGACTGACAACCGGTGTGCTCACCCTATCCACTTGCACTTCAGCATTCACATTCGGTCTCTTCACGAAAGCTGCAGTCGAATCAAGCACACTTTCGGGCGACTTCACTGACACACTGGTCGCACTATCCACAACACACACACTTTCCTTCACCGTCTGCACACAGGCTTCCAATGTTTGGATGGGTTTCGGTGGCTGCTGGACTGGAACAACTGGTGTCTCTGGTTTCACTGGTGCATGCATCTCACTCCAAGAATCCACCATGCACAATTGGACAGGTTTGGCTTGTGACGTCGCATCGGTGCGTTTCAACGACAAATGGGCAGCACCGTCGAGTAGAGATTTGTGTGGCTCGGTCTGTGCACCCACGTCGGACGAGGAGACTGGTACTGTGTCGATTTGTTGGTCGACAGTGGAACGTTTCACGAACTGTGTGGCTTCCACTAGCGATGTTTTGCGAACAGGTTCAGGTGTCGGTAACTCTAATGAGGCGGTCTCGGTGATGAGAGGAGCTTTGACTTGAACGGTGGGTTTCCAGACAATCTCATGCTGACTGGATTCCACGACGTGTGTGGTGACGGAGGTCGCCTGTGTCGCAGTCTCAGTCAGATGGCGAGGTGGTGGCTGTTGAACAGGCGACTCTGCGTAGGAGGCACTCACTGACATCATATGATCAGGTTTCACTGTCTTCAACTCTCTGTGATCCTCACTGGTCACAACTGGTCGTTCGGTTTGAGTCACCTGTACTTCTCGTTCTGCTACTCCCACTGCTTCCGTCACTGTGTGGCTGCTGGTCTGTTGCACCTGGTAGCCGGAGCTCATGACACGCGTGGCCACACGCATTCCGAACTGCATTCCAACGTCATGAGTGACTGGCTTCTCGACCTTCATGGCCATGGATAGTGTTGACTCGACGTAGGGTGCTGGTGTCACATGTTTCACTAGTTCACTGGTTGTCTGACACAGACTTGAGAACTTGCTGGTCTGCATAGCGACATTCGACGTTTTCACAGTCACAGGAACCGGTTCGATCTTAGGCTGAACGGTTTGACAAGCCATCTCTTCGGTATTCACGTACCGATGTCCACAGCTGGTACACAGACTCCTCTCGACCACTTCCCGTTCTAACTTGTGTGTGGTCAGACTGACAACCGGTGTGCTCACCCTATCCACTTGCACTTCAGCATTCACATTCGGTCTCTTCACGAAAGCTGCAGTCGAATCAAGCACACTTTCGGGCGACTTCACTGACACACTGGTCGCACTATCCACAACACACACACTTTCCTTCACCGTCTGCACACAGGCTTCCAATGTTTGGATGGGTTTCGGTGGCTGCTGGACTGGAACAACTGGTGTCTCTGGTTTCACTGGTGCACGCATCTCACTCCAAGAATCCACCATGCACAATTGGACAGGTTTGGCTTGTGACGTCGCATCGGTGCGTTTCAACGACAAATGGGCAGCACCGTCGAGTAGAGATTTGTGTGGCTCGGTCTGTGCACCCACGTCGGACGAGGAGACTGGTACTGTGTCGATTTGTTGGTCGACAGTGGAACGTTTCACGAACTGTGTGGCTTCCACTAGCGATGTTTTGCGAACAGGTTCAGGTGTCGGTAACTCTAATGAGGCGGTCTCGGTGATGAGAGGAGCTTTGACTTGAACGGTGGGTTTCCAGACAATCTCATGCTGACTGGATTCCACGACGTGTGTGGTGACGGAGGTCGCCTGTGTCGCAGTCTCAGTCAGATGGCGAGGTGGTGGCTGTTGAACAGGCGACTCTGCGTAGGAGGCACTCACTGACATCATATGATCAGGTTTCACTGTCTTCAACTCTCTGTGATCCTCACTGGTCACAACTGGTCGTTCGGTTTGAGTCACCTGTACTTCTCGTTCTGCTACTCCCACTGCTTCCGTCACTGTGTGGCTGCTGGTCTGTTGCACCTGGTAGCCGGAGCTCATGACACGCGTGGCCACACGCATTCCGAACTGCATTCCAACGTCATGAGTGACTGGCTTCTCGACCTTCATGGCCATGGATAGTGTTGACTCGACGTAGGGTGCTGGTGTCACATGTTTCACTAGTTCACTGGTTGTCTGACACAGACTTGAGAACTTGCTGGTCTGCATAGCGACATTCGACGTTTTCACAGTCACAGGAACCGGTTCGATCTTAGGCTGAACGGTTTGACAAGCCATCTCTTCGGTATTCACGTACCGATGTCCACAGCTGGTACACAGACTCCTCTCGACCACTTCCCGTTCTAACTTGTGTGTGGTCAGACTGACAACCGGTGTGCTCACCCTATCCACTTGCACTTCAGCATTCACATTCGGTCTCTTCACGAAAGCTGCAGTCGAATCAAGCACACTTTCGGGCGACTTCACTGACACACTGGTCGCACTATCCACAACACACACACTTTCCTTCACCGTCTGCACACAGGCTTCCAATGTTTGGATGGGTTTCGGTGGCTGCTGGACTGGAACAACTGGTGTCTCTGGTTTCACTGGTGCATGCATCTCACTCCAAGAATCCACCATGCACAATTGGACAGGTTTGGCTTGTGACGTCGCATCGGTGCGTTTCAACGACAAATGGGCAGCACCGTCGAGTAGAGATTTGTGTGGCTCGGTCTGTGCACCCACGTCGGACGAGGAGACTGGTACTGTGTCGATTTGTTGGTCGACAGTGGAACGTTTCACGAACTGTGTGGCTTCCACTAGCGATGTTTTGCGAACAGGTTCAGGTGTCGGTAACTCTAATGAGGCGGTCTCGGTGATGAGAGGAGCTTTGACTTGAACGGTGGGTTTCCAGACAATCTCATGCTGACTGGATTCCACGACGTGTGTGGTGACGGAGGTCGCCTGTGTGGCAGTCTCAGTCAGATGGCGAGGTGGTGGCTGTTGAACAGGCGACTCTGCGTAGGAGGCACTCACTGACATCATATGATCAGGTTTCACTGTCTTCAACTCTCTGTGATCCTCACTGGTCACAACTGGTCGTTCGGTTTGAGTCACCTGTACTTCTCGTTCTGCTACTCCCACTGCTTCCGTCACTGTGTGGCTGCTGGTCTGTTGCACCTGGTAGCCGGAGCTCATGACACGCGTGGCCACACGCATTCCGAACTGCATTCCAACGTCATGAGTGACTGGCTTCTCGACCTTCATGGCCATGGATAGTGTTGACTCGACGTAGGGTGCTGGTGTCACATGTTTCACTAGTTCACTGGTTGTCTGACACAGACTTGAGAACTTGCTGGTCTGCATAGCGACATTCGACGTTTTCACAGTCACAGGAACCGGTTCGATCTTAGGCTGAACGGTTTGACAAGCCATCTCTTCGGTATTCACGTACCGATGTCCACAGCTGGTACACAGACTCCTCTCGACCACTTCCCGTTCTAACTTGTGTGTGGTCAGACTGACAACCGGTGTGCTCACCCTATCCACTTGCACTT